TCCTAGCATTCTAGGAGGCCAAGGCAGTTGCATTACTTGAGCTCAGGAATTCAAGATCAGAGCAAAAGTGAGACACTGTCTCTACTAAAATAAACTAGCCACTCCCTGGATACTGTGGCAGGTGCCTACACCCCCAGGTAGTTGGGAAGCTGAGGCAAGAGAATTGCTTGAGCCCAAGAGTTTGAGGTTGCTGTGAGCTATGATAGTACAGCACTCTACACAGGGTGACAGAGTGAGCTTTTCAAAAACAAACAAACAAACAAAAACAACAAATGCTAAAGCAGTCAAGGCAATACCAATACCTGAACTCATGTGTTCTGACTCCAAGTTCACTGGGTTTTCTGTTAAACCATATTTACTTCCATAAATCACAATATATAGGCGGGGGATGTTATTATCATTCTGGCAAAATCATATCATCGAATGTCTCTTTGCCATCTGTGTTCTACATTTTGCTTGCTGGAGCAGGAGATACTCAACTATTATGTCTCTGAATACTGGGGCTAAGTTCAATTTCAAAAACTATGCCCAGCAACACGGTCTTTTGTGCATGCATTCCTTAATCTATTTCTTTTGAGTGCCTTTTATATGCCAGCCATTGTGCTAGTTACTCTGGACACAGTACTGAAGAGAACAGGTCCCTCATTATGAATCTTCTGCTCTAGTGACCATGGTATTGGGGGAGGGTGATGTTCAAAGTGAAAAACAGCTTGCTAACTGAGACTGGGAGGAAATGGATGCAGCTGCCGCTGCCAACAGTGTAATTGATGCATCTTAAGAAATTTAAACATATTCTAATGGTTATATATGAACATGATTGCTATTTTCAATTTAATTAGAGGGAAGGCAATATGCCTCCTCTTAACATATTGCAGTTGAGTCCGTGAGAATGGAGCTATTTGTTTAAAAGTTAACATGATTCCTCAAAAAAACTAAAAATAGAATTACCATATGATCCAGCAATTCCACTTCTGAGTATATAACCAAAAAAATTGAAAGCAGGGTCTTGAAAAGATATTTGTATACCCACGTTCATTGTAGCATTATTCCCAATTACCAAGAGATGTAAGCAGCCCAGATGTTCACAGACAGCTAAATCGATAAAGAAAATGTGGTTTGGG